CTGAACTAGAGAGAAATATTTCGCAAAGACTTTACGCCGTAGATGAACTTCCTCAGAACCTGAAAGATTTATTTATTGACTACGTTAATGAAGTTTTAGAAACTCGAGAAAGCAAGAAATTGATATTATTAACCAAAGGACTAGATACAGAAACGACTGAAACTAATTTTCCAGTTGACTATAACCGGTTCGTTTTCAATTTTTCCTCTGTATGCCTAGATAAGACACAACCTGAAGCCTTATCTCTCGGTTTAAAATTCTGTGACAGACGTAATCAGGTTGATCATTTAGAGACTGATGTTCAATTTGAAAACCTATTCGCCCAGACAAGCGACCTAACTCCTTCGTCCAAGTATGAGCTAGAAGGATTTAAAAGTACCCTTATCGATTCCTGCTACCAGTTTAAGAACAGCAAACATCCTGCCAACAGTCCACTTACAAAGAAACACCGAGAGGCATTACGTGACCTCAAAAAGAACGAAAATCTGATAATAACTAGACCTGATAAAGGATCTGCTACAGTTATCATGAACAAGAATGATTATTTAGACAAAATGAATATCATTCTAAGCGACCATACGAAATTTCAAAAGCTGAGCAGCTGTAAAGACACAAATGAGGCAACCGAACGCCAAATGGCTAAGACACTAAAATCATTAGTTGAGAGTAATCTGATTCCTAAGGATGCACTCGACGAATTGAAACCCTCAGGTACGCACACACCAAGACTTTATGGTTTACCAAAAGTCCAGAAGCCGGGAGTACCACTACGTCCCATCTTAGATATATGTCAATCTCCTTATCATTCGACAGCAAAGTGGTTGGTAAAGGCACTAGAACCGTTACATCGCGAATTAGTGAAATTCAGTGTAAAAGACGTATTTAGCTTTGTGGAAACTACCAAAAGCCTGAATGTAAAGGGAAAGAAAATGATGTCACTGGATGTCGCATCATTATTCACCAACGTCCCACTGCTTGAAACAGTCAACTACGTATGTGACCAGCTGATAGAATGAAAGATGATGTAGGAATCCCATCCGAAAAAGTCAAAGAATTATAATTGAAATGCACTATGAATGCTCAGTTTATGTTCAAGAATGGTTTTTATAGACAAGTTGATGGTATAGCCATGGGATCACCCCTGGGCTCTATGCTAGCGGATATTTTCCTGGCAAAGCTTGAAAATGGTCCACTTAAAGACACGATTAAAGGGTTTGACTATTATTGTCGATACGTAGATGATACCTTTATCGTTTGTGATATAAATCTTGATAAAGAAGAGCTTATGAATGCTGTTAATAGTGTTCACCCAACTATTCAGTTTACATGTGAAAAAGAAGACAATAACAGTTTACCTTTCCTAGACGTCCTTCTTACCATGAAGACAGACGGATTTCTACAAAAATTATTTAGAAAGAAAAATTGGACGGGTCAGTACACCCATTTCCATAGCTTCACACCGATTCAGTACAAAAGAAACTTAGTTAAGTGTCTAAGCTATAGAATAAAACGTATATGTTCAGAAGAATGCGTTAAGGAAGAAATGCATAAACTGAAACTCACACTACAAGAAAATGGATATCCACAGAGCTTCCTAAAAAAGTATATGTCAATACCTACAGACAGGGTAAAGGTGGATACCGTAGACAAGAAACCTTTGTATCTTAAGTTAAGTTACAAAGCGGAAATTACAGCTGACATTCTAAAATGTCGACTTAATAGAGCAGTAGATAGAACATTTCCCGCAGCTAAACTGGTACTCAACTTCTCAACTAAACCAGTACTCACATAGCAAGTCAAAGATAAATTACCAAAGATGGCCTCATCAATGTGCATCTATGAATTCAACTGCTCATGTGGAGCTAGTTATATTGGCCGTACTCAGAGGGTTTTATCCATGCGCGCGCGTGAACATGTACCTGTATGGTTGAGTAAAGGAGTAACCAAATGCGTAAATAGTGCAGTCTTAGCTCACTTGGTAGATACTGGACACCCGATAAAACTTGACCAGGCGTTCTCAGTTATTTACCGCGTTCCTAGTAATTTATCTAGAGGAGCTCGACTACGTCTTCTATCAGTAGTTGAAGCGGTTGCAATTAATACCAGAAGACCATCTCTTTGCATACAGAAAAAGTATGCTCAACCTCTATATTTACCTTGGCCTACAATAAAGCCAACAAATCCTACATTAACACTATAAATTCCTTTCACAATTTTCTTTTTTTTCCTTCTTCTTCTATTCCTCTGTTTCACTGACAAACGTTCATTTTCGACTTTTATGATTTCATGACCTTTCTTATGATTTTATTACCTTAGGTTTAAATAGTGCTTTTCTAATTTGCTATCGTATTTACAAAATCCGGTTCATTCCAATTCATTATATTCATTATTATTATTATTATTATTTGACAATCATTCACCAATAGTGCTTGTAATTTTACACCACATCATCGTTATTATTTTACAATCATTCTTATTGTCGTTATTTCCAACCTTGAACTTATTATGTCTAGTCCGCCCCATTCGTTGGTTTATTTTCATATTGTCTCACACACTCTGATTACACACACTCTCGAAACCTGTATTTTCTGTTGACTACATTTATATATATATATATATATATATATATATATATATATATACATCATTAAATTAAATTACTTCATCTCATTTTGTCCCATGTTCTCATTGACCATGCATATTAAAAAACTATCTGACTATTGTTCCATCCCATCTTATACTTGTTCCACAATACACTTTCTGATATGATTCTAATTTGCCTTTACTGGCTGTTGTATGCTTAAACTAATGGATTTATAATTGTAGAGGCTGAAGAAGAATTTATTGAAAACGATTGTTCGCTCTAAATGTGTTGTTCAAAATAAATTGTGTTCGAAACTTCATCCAGTAAATAATACTGTTTGATGTGTCGAATAAGCAAATTAATATGGAATTATCTAGGCTGTAGCACTTCGACCACAAGCGGAACGGATGTAGATGTCAAAGCAGTCCAGCCGGAATCGGAAAGGCAAGATACGACTTCATCAACGTGAAATCAGTCTGGAAATCTTCTGCACTCAGCATAAACAACAAAATTTGAAGTTTCAACATATATGTTAAGTTAATCTGTTCTTCTAAATGGGTCAGAAACTTGGTCATAGAGTCAGGAAAAGGATTTCCAACAGGTTGCAGACTTTTATCAACAGCTTGCTTTGTTTTATATTGAAGATCAAATGGTCTGAATTAATTAGCAACAAGAAACGTTGCGAACAAACTAACCAAGAACCTATCGTTCAATAAATATGTAGGAGAAAATAGAGATTGATCAGGTATATATTGAGGAGACCGTCGAATGACATCACGCGTCAGGCCCTCGAATGGAACCCAAATGAGAGGCGAAGAGTGGGTCGTCCTAGGGTGAGATAGGGAAGATCATGCGAGATGATAGATTATGAGCAATCGTGGACCCAGCTAAAGAGGACAGCAGAAAATAGAACAAACTGATGTGTTGTTGAAGCCTTAAGTGGCACACGGAGCCCAAGGGAACTATAGTAATAACAGAACTGTTGAACTTGCTACGTGGGACAGAGTGAAAGTATTAAAAAGGAATATAGTTAGGTGAAGAGATAGGGGGAAGTTAATCACCGAATCTTCGTTCATAGAACCAAGATCAAACACGAGCAATGGAAATGAAATGGAAATCAACACGAGCAAACGCGAGTCTATACCGAATATATGGAGAATTACAATGAATAAGTAGTGGGGAGGGAAAAATCGTGCTCGAAATGTCATCTAGTTATCAATATTGTATCGCTGTGTTATACAAAATAAACCTATCTCATATGGAATTATATTCTACCACAGTGTCCAAATTCTACACTTACAATAATCCTTAAAACATTTAATAAATATTGGACTGTGGAGGTATCTTGCTTGCCAGTTGACAAGTATTTCTTTGCTTTAAATCAGGAGGTAGGTACCACGAATTCTAACTAACTTTCAACTTATATCAGCTAATTTTCTTACAAAACACTTCATCTTGTCCGAAAATTTTAGTTTCAATAAAAAAACGCAGAGAATTTCCCCAAACGGTCAGTGCCAAAAAACTTTCATCTAATAACATATGAGTGACCATCATTTTGAAGATAAAGATGAACGTGAAGAACAGGGAATATACAGGGGTATCTACTAGTGAAGAGAATGGTATAAAAATAAGTCCACTTATATCAAGAAACTCTGAGCATCAGTATAAATGTCCCTCAGTAACGTCAAGAAAGTAATTAGGCTTCTTTGCGTAGAAGATTTACTCACGAGAAACCAGTGGAAATTAAAGTACTAATCGAAAATACACTACCACAGACACATAAACACCAAAATAATTGGTCCGTATAAAAGTATGACACAAATTTAGTTTCTTAATGTAAAGTATTATCCACGGGCTTCATATGTAAACACACGAATTAGGATAGCACAGTTAAGTTAACGAATCATATGCAACCGGAAATAAACTCTTTGTAGACAGTTGTAAAGGTTAGTTCAAGAGTGACAGACATATAATATCTGATTAACACTTCCTAACGCTGTAGTCTATTTGTTAATTACCTTTCTGAGAAACATCACAGACTGGAATTATGTAATCTATTAAAAATAATGCGACAACAACAACAATGTCGCTAAACTAAAATCTAACATAAGCCTTAAACAATATGATATTCTGATTTAAAAAATATGCAATACAAAGGTTCAATATGAATGCTTTATTTGTACTTGTTATTAGAATCCAGCCAAACACTATAACGACTTAGTAATTCTGTATAAACCAATATCCATCTGTTTCTTTAATTAGGAATGCACTGATAGTTCATAACTTATATGATTATCTCACCTGACCATCCATATACAATGTAGATCAACCGTAAATAACAAACTATCAGCTTTCAGCGTTAAAAATAGAAAGAAAACGAGATTATAGAACAGAACATTATTACGCTTGTAGTTACTTTGTCATCTGATACTGTCTGACTGCCAACATCTCCACCAGAGAATATTAAGAGTTGATCATATTCTGTAAGTGAAACAGATGAATGTTGTGTACGCGATTTACAAGCAGGATTAGTGTGATTGCAGCTTTGTTTTATACTTCCAGTGAATGACTGAATTTCAAATACTGATGAGTTCTCTGTTGATATTGCTGTTGGTACTGAAAGATCATCAAGATGTAAACGGAGCAATTGATTTAAAGGACCTGATTTTGTTGCACCACCAAATATCAATAACTCCTGAATAAAGTTACATAATAAAACGTAGATGTATTCACAATGAACGGGAAAAGAGGCAAGCAGAAAAGGATAGTTTGAAAAGTTAGCCAAACTCCTTTTTAAAAAAGAGGATGAGAATCGAACTTCTACATCAGTAGTAACCAGTGCAGACATTTTGATATTGTACTGACTCAATTGTAACAGGTGACAGAACAGTAAAATTTAAATCAAACCAGACAAGTGGAAGATTTGTGCGAGCTTAGCTTACATCAAGGACCAATATTAGTTAGGGAACTATCGGACAATGAGGGACACTGAACAGAAGTTCCTTCTTTAGTTTTGAAATTTTCAGTAATGCTTGAACCACAAAATTCCAGCTTACAAGCTGAGGACATTACAAATTAATTGGTGGATTGGAGACCCGTGACCTACAACCTGTGTCGATTTTCAGTGGGATCATCCTACTTCATAAATAAGTGCTCCCATACTCGATTCGATAAACTCAGTCAGTCACAACTCACTAGGAGTTCGAAAAATCTATTTTCAAGCTACTGAATTAAGGGCACTAGGTTAATTCTGAGTCAACTCTCAATTGGACATTGTTTTCTAAATATGTTTAAAAGTCACACGACAATAAAACTTTTCCAACGTTAGTAAACTTCACAGCAAAATAACTAGAAATGAAAGCTTTTATATAAATGAAGGTTACAATGCATAAATTGTTTTGCACCAATGTAATGTAGTGATATTTTAAAAATCTGCTTCAGTTATGTAGGATAATAACGTTTTCGTTTGAATTAAGTGAATTTGATTTAATAAATATAAAAACAATTTTTTGTGCTTAAATATTTTCCTAAAAAATTCTAGCTTTTTCAACCAGTTAACATTTGAAGACAAACCTTTCTTGATCTACCCAGTTAATCAGCCAAAATGAACCTTCTTTAGCAACATGAAGATCTAAGAGTTTAGAGAATTATGAAGAATTTATACGAAGTCGAAGGACGAAAGAAGATCATAAAAGAGGAGGGAAAAGGACACGCATCTCCTTCAGCCTATTGCAAACTTTAACCATCAGATGCCCTCGCTCAATACTGAAGATCACATAGCTGACCAGAACGAATATACGACAAGGAACTCTGGCAACGAGCTAGCCAACAATACCCAACAAATATGCTGAAAAAATTGAAGTGGACTGGACATATAATGAGGAGACATTCAAGTGATACCACACGCCAGGCCATCTAATGGAACACGAGGAGGAAGTCCAATGTTGGGCACCCACGTATGACTTGGAGATCATGTGAAGAGGAAATAGAAGCCTGTGAGTAGACGTGGGGTATGCTGAAAGTGATGGCAGAGAACTGTGTACACTGCAGATGTGCACCTGAAGTCCTTTGTCCTACTCGGAACACAAAGCATGAATGACAATAGTACGCTGAGAAAGCTCTCTACGATAAAGATTAATTATTTATGAGATTGTTTTTCTATCGTATACCATGATAAAATGCAATGAAACAACTGTATAAACTTTCTAAAACTTGATCAAACGCCACATCTGCATGTCGTTAATAACGTAAAACGTATAACATCTTACAAACGTTAGAAATTTACCTTAACCAACAAAGCGATTACTTAACTTAAGTTAGATCAGTATACCAGTACTATAAGAGATTACAATGTGCAGTTCCGGAAGAAGTAGGCTGGATATGTGACACAATGAAATATAGACTTTTCAGAAAACTGTTAGTTTCACGTGCACTTGGTTTAGTGCGAAAAAAATGAATTATTCATTATGTGTTAGTAACTCACTTGGTTGCACAATAATGCACTACTATGTTCATATCTTCCCAAACTTGGAAAATCTATTACTTCCGACACACTAATAGTATGCCATCTACACGATGATATATCCAGAATATGCGCCTCATTAAATACTGATGAGGGATCTGCACCACCAGTAATAATAATCAAAGGCCGTTTGCCCCCATGCACCGATTTTATATACAAAGTGTGAGCTGTGTGTCCAACACGCCCAGTTGGTAAGTAACTCCCATGAATGTGTGGTACCCCATACCTTTATTGAAGACATTAGTAAACAGATAAGTTGGAATGTGAATTATCTTAGAGTAAGAATATAGCGCTGAATGAAAGCATAAAAGTAATAATATAAAAATCCAAGGTGCCCAACTAACTATAAAACATAATATTTTCATGTGCAAGAGACGTATTATAAGCTAAACGTTTGTCATTGCCATTGGGACACTATTTGTCGTTGGATTAAGTGAATACAGATACCTACAAATTTTTAAGGCCAACTATCATAATAAACTATTTCTCTTGCCTTAGTTCAAGGTTAGTTGGTTATTTCAATCAGAGTAAAATGTCTAGACGTATATACTGCACTTTAGTTGTAAATTGCAATTGAAGTATTGCCATATTTTGCGGAAAGATGATCCAGATCAATCAATCAATGGCCTGTTCACTCCTTGATTGGACACTAGGCAGTAGCTGGTGTCATGCAAATAGTCCTTGGTTAGGTGCAGACTGATTTCTATCAAGTTGGCAGTGTGGCCACCACGCTAGGTGGCTCGCCATCACGATGCACTCCGAATAGCTGTGGTTAGATAGTTGGACGCAATCGACAGGAACGTGACAGGAGTGAGGAATAGTAATGTACTCTGTTGCATGCATACAGAGTAGTTACTGACTGCATCACATTCCTAGAGACATTGGTTAGGTTGACAGAGTTCGAAGACAACTACTTCGTACTCAGTATATATATATATATATATTTCTGCATCAGACACCTCCATTTAACGATATTGCACAAATAAATTCTCCCTTCAACAAACAACATAAAACACATACAACTTACTACTGATGGTCTCAATGAAAATATCAACACGCAATTTCGAACTTAATATATAAATATTGAAAGTTCTATTCAAATCATAGTGATTCGAAAGTGACTAAGTTTTCCAGCATCCTAGGACATTAAGATGTAAGCTATTATACAAACAAATACAAATTGCAATCATCCAAAAGAGAAATTTAGTAGACGATCGAGTTCGTACTCGTAAGTATTCGTGATTATTAAAGTGGAAGTATCGAACGAATAACCTGAACTTCTGTTCCTCGAAAATGACCATTTAATTTCAATGGTGATAAACGCAAGACAACACAAGAAAATCATGAAATAAGGTCTCTCATTTGCTAAAACGTCAATTCTTTGAACATCAGTGAAAATTACCTAATTTTAGAATACACGACTACAAATGATCTCTAGATATAAGAAGGTGAAACTCAAATTAAATTAGGCCACAAAATATTTTCGTGCAACAGACAGAAATTTCTTCAGTTTCACACTATGATCTCATAATGGGAGTTTTCGCGTACTCATATACTAATCAGTAAAAAGAACCGAAAATCGTCCCTTCATGGTCCTGGGGCCAGGACCATGAAGGGACGATTTTTGGATCCGGATCCAAATGCACTTATCTGAGTTTGCATAGATATCGCACAAAAGTTTTCTCTGTTTAGCTAACGTTATTCATCGGAAAATGCATACCATCAAGAAAACCGACCAAGGGAACTGCTTACCAAGATCCTCTAACATTTAGTTTTTTAAGTAAATCGTCCATATTACAACAACATACAAACTTTTGAACGCTGAGAATTCTCGTGTTGTAGAACTTCTTTCTTAACAATAATCTTAGTATTGCCACAACCGGTATATGTGGAGAGGGTTGATGAGTTTCCAAACGTCAAATAGATTGCTGGTGGGTTTGTTTTATGGTTCAGTTTGTGTATGTTCCGGGCGGGATCTTCGTAATAATCATTAATGACATAATTATTCACTTCAGAACATTTTTCTACATCTTTACTATCACTGGACATGAGGCAAACATGATCCACCACTCCAATACATAAAACCGGTGTTTTGTTTCGCAGGTAACGTCTCCTTCAAACAAAATCCAAACAGATTTTAATAGCTTTGTTTAGAGAACGAAGACTCTAGGTCTATTTCAATTATTTTCTAACAAGTATTTGTGCATTAACACCTCCTTTTGGAACGAGTCAATTCAGAGTGTAGACACCACTTATTCCGTTCGTCTGTTCCAGGAATTATTGACTAGTCCAATGCCCAATACTGTTGTTATAGGCTAGAGTAAACCAAATCGATTTCTGTGTGCTAGCTTCTTATCTCCAAGGTAAAGGTTACCAATCTTCGATATACTGCACAATGCCTCCTGCCACTCGACTGTCGTAGCTTCCGCTGACTCCAATGAGAGTGGTGCTGGGATTAGTTATATGTAGTTTGCGGTATGCTATGTGTGAAGACTGTGTTACTGCTGTGACTGCCGTTTATCATTTCACCCGTCAGTTGTCCTGTGCAGTTAAAAAGAGAGGTATCAATAATAGTATATATAATTGCCGCTGATTGCGTAAACTTTTAAAAGAAAGACATAGAGACAGATAGATAATGAAATCCGAAATTATAAAAACATATAAATAAATATAATAATAAAATAAGTTAATGAATAAGTAGGATAGCCACATTTTTTGGCAGTGTTCCACTGGTGGCAAACTCGAAGATAATAAAAATGAGAGCTTACTCGAATCTTTGCTCTCTGGTGTGATATCATTTTTGGATTGCCGTGAAAAAGCCATACTTATAGGTAGAATACTTATGTTTGGGTGTTCCTTGTGGTTTTCAACCTTTTGAGTGGTAGTTAGGTCGCCCGGAAGCCAACGATGGCTAAGTGTGAAAATACCTAGTTTTTTCAACCCTTCATCAAATAGTTTGTTTCGCAGATCCGTTAGCCGTTCTGTAGCCTGTCTTTGAACTCTTTCCAAAATATTAGTGTCCCATTTGAATGATGAGAAAGAGGCGATACTGGTTGAATGAGCAGTACACCACAGAGATACAGTTGTGCCGTAGCTTTTAAACTGTTGCTATGGCCTCAGAGGTTATCCTAAATGGCAGAAAAGGAGTGGGTAAGTAGATAAAGTCCATAGTTATTTCTAGGAAGAAAGTTTCCACCCCCTGTCTCCGTTCTACAGGAAGTTCTTGGATCCAGTTGACCAGGATACCATCGACTCCTAGATTCCCAGATTCATGAGCAGCTTTACATAATACACGCTACTGAAAGCCTTACCAAATTCTATGAGAGTAATGGCAATGGTTTCCTTCTTATCGCCAGACTTTACCTAGATTTCCATTGCTCTATGGATTGTCAGATACGGGGTGTTTCCCCAAAATCCGCGTTGTGATTCGTTCTCTAAATATGCCATGGTCTGCTATCGCCTCTTTTTTTCTGTATTCTATTTGATTGTCTCCGCCAGCACTCAGGTCGGGGGATGTGAGATTTCTTGTTCCTGAGGTATATATAGTAATCCGGCATCTTGAGTTGACCCCTTGGGTTTTAAGCCTAGCCTAGTCCAAATTTTGTCTGTGACTGAGTAAAACCTGCCGCCGTATGTAGCCTCTTGACCTAAGAAGACTTGAGGACTGGCAGTACGTGTGAGTACTTATAATGACAGCGAACAAGACCATGAGTCTCCTATTGTAACCATAGGGTAAATGTTTTTGACCCTTCTGCACAGTCTGGAGGGAAGATAATTAGGTTACTAGGGCGTCTGTTTGCTTTAACTAACCCCAAGATGCCACTGCGTGGGCTTCCGGGTCTAAGCTTCAATCCTTTGACAACGCTGCAGAGTAAATAACACTTACATGGGCTTTCGACACTTTCAGTCTACCTTGGGTTTGACCATGAGATGCGAAAGCAACAGAGAATTAAAACCAAAACAAAATATGATGGTTTTTTCCTGGGTGCAGATAGTGTTGCTTGAAATTTTCTTCCTAATTACGAGAGAAACCTGAGGCCAAAATTGAAAAAGATTACTCAGAATCATAGGGTGTGATTGTTTGACGACCGGCTTACAGTCAGCGAGGTGGAGGATTAAACTACTTTTTAGTCGAAAGAATTGCGTAATGATGCCGGTGGTAGATTTTTTAATCGAAGTGACAGGGGACTGAAATCATCAACACCAAGGTAAAGACACTTTGAAGTCTGTGAAACTAATATCTCTGTGAAAAAATCGTCTGCTGTCTCGTATGGACCAGGAGGAATTAACCTGAAATCAGTATCTTGTCACTAGCGTTCTACTGTGCAGCCTAAAGTTCACATAATCCACATTCGGGTGCGAGAACGTCTGTGCTACGCTAAGTCCATTGCAAATGACTACTCCGCCGCTTCTGTGGTGTAGCTGGTATAATCTATGCGCCACGAAGTTAGACAAGTTAATTCCACTGTTGGCAACTTCAGGTGACTGCGATAACAACTGGGTTCTCCAGGTTAGTCAAATTTTCCAGCTCCATCCACCTATCAAGCGGACCGTGGGTAGTTTTGTATCGTAATTTCAGTTGAGCCTACCGCGTTTGTTGGTGCTCATGGGGTTTCGAATTTCAAATTTTTACTTCCCGGGAAACCTAGAGAATTAGTAGTTTTGCCAAAGCAGCACCGTTCGCTTGTCAATAATATTTATTCTCACGGTACACTGTATATATGACACCAGGTAACGGGCGTCATCAGTTGCTTACAGATAATAATACCACATAATACGATCGGAGTTTACAGGAATTGGTCGAGATATACTTTGTGAGTTTACAGGCACAATACACAACCATCACATGAATATGAATCTCAGTAGTAATAAACAAAAGCCAGTATTGACAAAACACCAAATGTTTCTCCTTTTGTTAGTTTCTAGGAAATACCGAGAAGTCAGTTCCCTCATGCAAGAACAATAACTGCAGATACTTGATATTAACGAAAGCAAGAAAGACTAATAATGTGTCAAATCTTGGTCAAAGCATTTTGACTTTTTGGACCTCCCCAACATATGTAACTGTTCGTGAGTGTGATACAGATTGTTGCCGGATGTGTACAATTTGCTGGATGAACGTAGAAGTTTCACCAGATAACGTCAACGAAAACACCAGTACGTCACACTGTTACTACTACAGAAGGCTTATAACTTAGATGGGCCAGTGTGGACTCAATCGCCCGTTCCAGTGAGTAAGCCCTATTGTATAATTTATCCTTGTGCTCACCCAAACATGGCCTATTATTGCCAGGGAGATTCATAAATAGAATCCCTACCAAATGCACATTAAAGCACATTAAAATGTCCACTTTAGCTCGTCTAAAAGACCGCAACAGTTGGTAGAATGGTAAACTAAAGACAGTCAATTATACCTGTTTCAACTCTAACATTTGTGCGACGCGTGTTTCACCACTTTACTGATTTTCTCTTCCTTTTAATCTTCAAAGTGCGGTTAATGTAAGTATCTCCAGAGACAGATATATTGGCAAACATACTTTTATTGCTTTGCAAAAATGCATATATAATATGTGTAATACTACCATTTTGTGTAGAAATGACTATCTTCAGTCAATAGCTACCCATTTTCGAGTACTTTTCAAAATACATAATGGTGAAATATTTCGTGGTATTTTTTCTATATGATGGGTTGATGAATCACTTTGCAACGCCTAATGCGTACCATATAAAAATTGGTCATGAAAATTTAGCAAAACAATTTCTGCTAACCAGCTCTTTTCCTCAAGATCGTTCTACATAACTTTATAACCAATCGCTCCACTATTTATTTCACCCTGCTAAATAGACTATAACTCAGCTGCCATAATACTAACTATTTCTGTACTCTAAAAATTTTAAGGGAAACTTAATTTTCTAGTCGTTTGTAGTAATCTACTTGTGCACATGTATACATGTACAAAGGCAATACCTCTAAGAATATCTTCAGGTATCGATGTATCTGAGAAGCATTTGTCATGAAAGCTATTAATGCGCAGTGTGCTTTATGATTGGGACGGGCTCAAAGCAATGTAATGTTACAATTGCAGTTATTGCAAAAACTCAGACCTTAACATCAAAAAGGAGGGAGGAAGGCATATTCTGATCCGCAGATATGGTGGTGGTCAAAAATGTGAATCGCTCCAATCTGTAGGACTGCAACATGCGTTTCTGACAGCTCGAGAATTAAACATGAGTTTAAATCCTAAGCTTAAAAGATAAAAGTTGTTTAAACCAAAATTTTTATAAATAGAAATGCTTGTGATCTTAAGATCTACAAGTTTGTTCAGCTTCTTGTCAAAATGCTACCCCATGGGCCTTACATAAATTCTTGGGACATCTTACAGGTCAGCATGTTCTACACGTCCTAATCCTTGAAGCCAACTTTTACTCAAATATCGCTGATATACCACACAATAATTTCTTATCTAAGTATTATCATACTCTATTTAATTTTAGCTACCTAGGCATTTAATGAAGCCGGAACTTCCTCTTTTCATTCGTGTTCTTCGCTCGTTTTAATTCTGCTTGCTCTGATGAAAGGAAAACAACAACACCAATGTTCGAGCAGAACTATATTTTTATCACGAATGTCATAGTTCCGATGGTAAGACAAAGCTATATTTTCATCGGAAACGTGATAGCTTCCATGCTTAGACTAAAATGGTTGGCATTAGACATTGCAAGTGTATACTATAATTTCAAATACTGTATAGCTTCTTCTCCTTGTATTTATCTTGTAAATATACTTTCAATA